TTATTAATTCGGACCAAGTACGATAAATGTTTTTACATGTCTGTGATGTCACGTGTACGTAGCCTCTTAGTGCTGAGGTAGGTGTGTAGAGAGAAAGCAGGATTCAGAAGCTGAAGATATTGCACTGCTTTGTTCTTCAAACCAGCTAGGATAATTCAGTGTTTCTGAAGCAATGTTTTACAAGTGACTTGACGAGAGTTTCCTTGGGTGTAAACAATGATGTACAGAATGTTTGTCTGTGAATGACAGATGTATGTTACACGACTCACTCTGTCCACACCCGGTCACATGACACATTGAGACTTGAACAATACACTGGGGGTCGTATACAGAAATATATACATAGGGGCTTAGTTGAAACCAAAGGGAAACGGCTTTCTGGTCATTGGTTAGATATTTATATGTATTAGCCATGTGTGGGCTGGTGTTTAAATCTTACTTTGGTTAGACATTTTGCATTTTTAAACTTGGTACAGAAGATTGATTGACCCATGATACTGCCAGTGTAAGTTGGTACAAAATCTACATACAGTTAACTACGTTTATAACGAACACGCTTATAGCGAACCGGCGGATATAACGAACTGTTTTTTTGGGTCCCGTACAGTTGCTGTATATATGCTTTATATATGCTTATAACAAACTATGGTTATAACGAACTAAAACTGGTGGTCGCTTTGAGTTATAACCATAGTTTACTGTACAAGAAACAATGCAGGCGTTGGTCAAAGTGGCATTACATACTTGAGGCCTATGTACATATCCAATCTGCCATGTGGCTACTTCAATAAGTGCAGCACTAAAGGAGTCCAGGACATCGGGGAAGTTTTGAAGTTGTTTGAAGTTGAAAGAATACGAACACAGGAGACTTTTTATGGATAACATTATTCTTTGTGACGACGTTTCAGAGCTTCTTGTCCCTTCATCAGGTGAATGCTGAGTAACTACATGGAGTTAATATATATATATATATATGACAATACGTTTACACAAGGTGGGATAAATGTACACAAATAACAACATAATGACGACGCCAATGATGTTTACAGGAGAGAAGCCAATTACAGTGAAGGTCTAGTGATTGGCCTGGACGTAACAAGAAGGATCCCACAATGGTAACACTAACACTCACTCACTAATACAGGAGAGAAGCCAATTACAGTGAAGGTCTAGTGATTGGCCTGGACGTAACAAGACGGAGCCGACAATGGTAACACTAACACTCACTCACTAATACAGGAGAGAAGCCAATTACAGTGAAGGTCTAGTGATTGGCCTGGACGTAACAAGAAGGAGCCCACAATGGTAACACTAACACTCACTCACTAATACAGGAGAAAACCCAATTACAGTGAAGGTCTAGTGATTGGCCTGGACGTAACAAGAAGGAGCCGACAATGGTAACACTAACACTCACTCACTAATACAGGAGAGAAGCCAATTACAGTGAAGGTCTAGTGATTGGCCTGGACGTAACAAGAAGGAGCCGACAATGGTAACACTAACACTCACTCACTAATACAGGAGAGAAGCCAATTACAGTGAAGGTCTAGTGATTGGCCTGGACGTAACAAGAAGGAGCCGACAATGGTAACACTAACACTCACTCACTAATACAGGAGAGAAGCCAATTACAGTGAAGGTCTAGTGATTGGCCTGGACGTAACAAGAAGGAGCCCACAATGGTAACACTAACAGTGTGGCAATCAAGATGTACATTTGTAGTTGATGATGTCACAAATGGACTTCTTGACTCGTACCTTTCACAGGTACCATTATCAAGGATAATTTAAGTTTGTGTTTTACTGAAGAGCTGATTCATCATTTGTCTGTTTCATAGAATTGAATTCGTTTTAGGACAACATCTAAATATTCATGTTGCAAGTTGGCATTTTCTTGTCAGTGTGGTTAAAATATCCATTTTCACAAGAGCAGGCGAATCAACTTGGAACTGCATGGAACAAGACCCACCTTGTTTCAGTTTGAGTTTCCTCGTGGCGTAGTAGGTACGAAACGGGGTAGCACAATACCTCAGGTGGTCCAGACAAGGTCGGGAGTCTGAACCTGTTTAATGGCTACAGTAATGTAGTCCCCTCAATTACTCACTAATGGCTACAGTAATGTAGGCCCCTCACTGACCAACTCACTCACTAAGGGCTACAGTAATGTAGCCCCCCTCACTCACTCACTAATGTCTTCAGTAATATAGGCCACTCACTCACTCAGTAAGGGCTTCAGTAATGTAGGCATCCACACTCACTCACTCACTCACTCACTCACTCGTTCACTCACTATGGCTACAGTAATGTTGACCCCTCAACCACTCAACCACTCACTCACTAATGGATACAGTAATATAGGCCCCTCACCCCTCACTCACGCACTAATGGCTACAGTAATGTAGCCCCCCCTCACTCAATCACTCACTAATGACTACAGAAATGTAGCCTCACTCACTCACTAATGGCTACAGTAATATTGGCCCCTCACTCACACACTCACTCACTAATAGCTACAGTAATATAGGCCCCTCACTCACTCGTTCACTCACTAATGGCTACAATAATGTAGCCCCCCTCACTCACTTACTCACTAATGGCTACAGTAATATAGGCCCCTCACCCACTCACCCACTCACTCACTCACTAATGGCTACAGTAACGTAGGCCCCTCCCTCACTCACTCACTCACTAAGGGCTTCAGTAATGTAGCCCCCTCACTCACTCACTAATGGCAACAGTAATATAGGCCCCCTCACTCACTCACTCACTCACTAATGGGTAAAGTAATGTAGCCCCCCCTCACTCACTCACTCACTAATGGGTAATGTAATGTAGGCCCTTCACTCACTCACTAAAGGCTCACTCACTCACTCGCTCACTAATGACTACAGTAATGTAAACAACTCACTCACACAAACAACGACCACTCCTGAATCATGCATCTCTACTTTTCTTCGGACACATCATAGGATGGTTTTTGGATGGACAGGGTTGACTATTGATGAAATCAAACAAGCAGCTAAATAGATGGCGACCTCTTAAAGTATACTTTGATGAAGATGTAAGCAAAATGGTGGATACAGATGCTGTCACAGTGGGGTAAAGATCCATACAGTTGCTTGTTAATATCATACAACTCATTACCCGGGAAGGACAAAGTGCCATGCATGATAAGGCAATCTTGGTGACTTCTGACTTTGTCATATCGATGCCGGTGTCGTAGACTGGCAAGTGGCATGGTATGAGAGCTATTTGTCTGTACACTGAATGAGTAAAACATGAATATACCTTAGAGCTTTGATAAAAGCATCTGTGTTTTTATTGATACATTCTGTTTCAAACACTGAACTATTCTTGTCTCCAGAAAAGTAAAGTAGTTTCATTAATAAAAATGATATACGGATATAGATCAAGGCAAATTATCCAATCAATTGAATTAGCCACAGAAGTGATAAAAGTATCTCTATCAATTAACCTATCGCCACCTGTCAATCTAACAACATGATTGACAACAAGTCAAAAAAGTGTGAAATGACAAATAATTTCCAACTTCTACCCTTGAAAATGTTTTACTTTGCATTAGACTATTATATACAGATCTCAACACGTTTATCAATTAAAATGTATCACGAACTATTGGAATACACAATGATGGATGAAATATGTCACTCATTCATAGTGTGAAAAACATTACTATCTCCATACCTATAACATGTCATGTTATTAGAAATATAAAGATTAAATGAAAAAAATATAAGTTGATGACATACTCTTGCTTGCATTTTGTTGTGTGTGCTGTTAACTCCGCTCTTGTGACTACTTGCTCACACTTGTTTCTGACAAAATGCAAAATCGTCAGCTGATATCATGACGTCTTTGCGAGGCATTTAGAAGTTGGAGTACGAAGTAATATAGAAGTTGTTCATCCATCCTTACTTAGCTGATATCCTAGTTTCCTGCATATGCAATAAAGGCAAATTGATTATATACTAGTATATGTAAAGACTATATAAACATGTATGCATAATCATTTAGTAGTTGTGATGCCACGTATTAACGTGATTAACTTAGGTGAGAGAGTTCAAGCAGAAACTGTTTGCCAGAATAAACAACGTTTACACTTTACACATGGGATTTCTGTTCCAGACAGGATATGTTTTCAGTCATTGCTATAGAACACCAAACTTGTTTGTATGAAAGTAGCAGTCAAAAATAATAACTTTTTATGACGCATTTTATTCAGAAGATCAAACATGTCCAGTGAGCAAATAATTGCTTTTGTAAAACCTCAGGACAAATTGTAGACTAATGAATATTCCCAGGCTCCGGAAGAGGATATTAAGAGCATAAAGAGATACATATTTCTGCACAGAGTTGCGTCCCTTTGATCACCTGTCAAACCACACCCTGTCCCTTGTAAACTATGAATACAAATTCACCTGCATGGGTGTACAGCATTGTTTTCCTTGAACATCGCTACGGCAAAGATTTCCTTATCTCCTATGTGTCTGGGATATGACTGAGAGAGCGTATTGTCCGAATTGAGTGGAATCTTGTTACTATTATACTCTACTCAATACCACAGATTGTGGAAATAACAGATACAGATTAGTACATTTACAGAATTGAACCAGTTCTCACAGCATCCACACATTATTATATCCGCTGTAGATCACCGAACGCTGGTGGTATTTTATAAGAGTTAAACGCCCCTTTAAAACATTAGGAGATGGGTTGTCGAAATTGATAATCTGAAGACAGATAGCATGCGCAATTATGTGAACATGTTACTCCATGACAACACACGTCAGATATATATTACACAACACAACACAACATTACTGTTCTATGAACAACATATAACAACAGTACTCTCCAATATCATCTGGTTGTGTCACGTGATCTCTCGTGTTGTGTTGTCTTCATTCAGTGCTGTCATTGTGCGTTCCTTTCACAAATGTTCTGGTGCTAGGTCTACTTGAGAAGTATTTCTATCAGGTCAGACTACTACTGGTGCTAGATCTACTTGAAAAGTACTTCTATCAGGTCAGGCTACTACATGTGCTAGGTCTATTTGAGAAGTACTTCTATCAGGTCAGACTTCTATTGGTGCTAGGTCAACTTGAGAAGTACTTCAATCAGGTCAGACTACTACTGGTGCTAGGTCTACTTGAGAAGTACTTCTATCAGGTCAGACTTCTACTGGTGCTAGATCTACTTGAGAAGTACTTCTATCAGGTCAGACTACTACTGGTGTTAGGTCTACTTGAGAAGTACTTCTATCAGGTCAGACTTCTACTGGTGCTAGATCTACTTGAGAAGTACTTCAATCAGGTCAGACTACTACTGGTGCTAGGTCTACTTGAGAAGTACTTCTATCGGGTCAGACTACTACTGGTGCTAGATCTACTTGAGAAGTACTTCTATCAGGTCAGACTACTACTGGTGCTAGGTCTACTTGAGAAGTACTTCTATCAGGTCAGACTACTACTGGTGCTAGGTCTACTTGAGAAGTACTTCTATCAGGTCAGATTTCTACTGGTAAAAGGTCTACTTGAGAAGTACTTCTATCAGGTCAGACTACTACTGGTGTTAGGTCTACTTGAGAAGTACTTCTATCAGGTCAGATTTCTACTGGTGCTAGGTCTACTTGAGAAGTACTTCTATCAGGTCAGACTACTACTGGTGCTAGGTCTACTTGAGAAGTACTTCTATCAGGTCAGACTTCTACTGGTGCTAGATCTACTTGAGAAGTACTTCTATCAGGTAAGACTACTACTGGTGCTAGGTCTACTTGAGAAGTACTTCTATCAGGTCAGACTACTACTGGTGCTAGGTCTACTTGAGAAGTACTTCTATCAGGTCAGACTACTACTGGTGCTAGGTCTACTTTGAGAAGTACTTCTACTAGTGCAAGGTCTACTTGAGAAGTACTTCTATCAGGTCAGATTTCTACTGGTGTTAGGTCTACTTGAGGAGTACTTCTATCAGGTCAGACTACTACTGGTGCAAGGTCTACTTGAGAAGTACTTCTATCAGGTCAGACTACTACTGGTGCTAGGTCTACTTTGAGAAGTACTTCTACTAGTGCAAGGTCTACTTGAGAAGTACTTCTATCAGGTCAGACTACTACTGGTGTTAGGTCTACTTGAGAAGTACTTCTATCAGGTCAGACTACTACTGGTGCTAGGTCTACTTGAGAAGTACTTCTATCAGGTTACACTTCTACTGGTGCTAGGTCTACTTGAGAAGTACTTCTATCAGGTCAGACTACTACTGGTGCTAGGTCTACTTGAGAAGTACTTCTATCAGGTCAGACTACTACTGGTGCTAGGTCTACTTGAGAAGTACTTCTATCAGGTCAGACTACTACTGGTGCTAGGTCTACATTGAGAAGTACTTCTACTAGTGCAAGGTCTACTTGAGAAGTACTTCTATCAGGTCAGATTTCTACTGGTGTTAGGTCTACTTGAGGAGTACTTCTATCAGGTCAGACTACTACTGGAGCTAGGTCTACTTGAGAAGTACTTCTATCAGGTCAGACTTCTACTGGTGCCAGGTCTACTTGAGAAGTATTTCTATCAGGTCAGACTTCTACTGGTGCTAGGTCTACTTGAGAAGTACTTCTATCAGGTCAGATTTCTACTGGTGCTAGGTCTACTTGAGAAGTACTTCTATCAGATCAGACTTCTACTGGTGCTAGGTCTACTTGAGAAGTACTTCTATCAGGTTAGACTACTACTGGTGCTAGGTCTACTTGAGAAGTACTTCTATCAGGTCAGACTACTACTGGTGCTAGATCTCCTTGAGAAGTACTTCTATCAGGTCAGACTACTACTGGTGCTAGGTCTACTTTGAGAAGTACTACTACTGGTGCTAGATCTACTTGAGAAGTACTTCTATCAGGTCAGACTACTACTGGTGCTAGGTCTACTTGAGAAGTACTTCTATCAGGTCAGACTTCTACTGGTACTAGGTCTACTTGAGAAGTACTTAGATCAGGTCAGACTACTACTGGTGCTAGGTCTACTTGAGAAGTACTTATATCAGGTCAGACTACTACTGGTGCTAGGTCTACTTGAGAAGTACTTCTATCAGGTCAGACTACTACTGGTGCTAGGTATACTTTGAGAAGTACTACTACTGGTGCTAGATCTCCTTGAGAAGTACTTCTATCAGGTCAGACTACTACTGGTGCTAGATCTACTTTGAGAAGTACTACTACTGGTGCTAGATCTACTTTAGAAGTACTTCTATCAGGTCAGACTACTACTGGTGCTAGGTCTACTTGAGAAGTACTTCTATCAGTTCAGACTTATACTGGTGCTAGGTCTACTTGAGAAGTACTTCTATCAGGTCAGACTTCTACTGGTGCTAGGTCTACTTGAGAAGTACTTCTATCAGGTCAGACTACTACTGGTGCTAGGTCTACTTGAGAAGTACTTAGATCAGGTCAGACTACTACTGGTGCTACGTCGCTATATAAGTGCAATAATCTTGGACGCGACGTTAAACCCAATTTCACCTCACCTCACTACTGGTGCTAGGTCTACTTGAGAAGTACTTCTAACAGGTCAGACTACTACTGGTGCTAAGTATACTTTGAGAAGTACTACTACTGGTGCTAGATCTACTTGAGGAGTACTTCTATCAGGTCAGACTACCACTGGTGCTAGGTCTACTTGAGAAGTACTTCTATCAGGTCAGACTACTACTGGTGCTAGGTCTACTTGAGAAGTACTTCTGTCAGGTCAGACTTCTACTGGTGCTAGGACTTCTTGAGAATTACTTCTCTCAGGTCAGACTACTACTGGTGCAAGGTCTACTTGAGAAGTACTTCTATCAGGTCAGACTACTACTGGTGCCAGGTCTACTTGAGAAGTACTTCTATCAGGTCAGAGTTATACTGGTGCTAGGTCTACTTGAGAAATACTTCTATCAGGTCAGACTACTAATGGTGTTAGGTCTACTTGAGAAGTATTTCTATCAGGTCAGACTTCTACTGGTGCTAGGTCTACTTGAGAAGTACTTCTATCAGGTCAGACTTCTACTGGTGCTAGGCCTACTTGAGAAGTACTTCTATCAGGTCAGACTACTACTGGTGCTAGGTCTACTTGAGAAGTACTTCTATCAGGTCAGAGTACTACTGGTGCTAGGTCTAGTTGAGAAGTACTTCTGTCTGGTCAGACTTCTACTGGTGCTAGGTCTACTTGAGAAGTACTTCTATCAGGTCAGACTACTACTGGTGTTAGGTCTACTTGAGAAGTACTTCTATCAGGTCAGACTTCTACTGGTGCTAGGTCTACTTTAGAAGTACTTCTATCAGGTCAGACTTCTACTACTGTTAGGTCGCCCTGTAGTTAACCAATGACATGATGGACTACGTGTGTAAGTGAAGAACTGGATCCGATCCTAAAGCAGGAGTCAACTTTTGAAATATTCAACTGTGTATGGAGATCAAAATTATCTCTGTTGCCATATTCAGCGTGGGCAGAATTTGAATACGTTTACATATCTCCCAGACGTAACATACAGCAGGCCGTCAGCATCAAGACAGACACCACGAGGACATATAAGACCATCCTGTTGTGTGAGGACATCTCTGACAAACTGTCCCGACTCTGTCAGCTGAATCACCTTGTGGGAGTGATAGTCTACAAGCAGGATATCTCCTGTGCTGGTTGTTGTGATACCTAGAGGATATGACAGAGCTCTGTCTCCTGTGGGTGTGTAGGTGAAAACAGCGTCCCCTTCACTGGTCACACATACAAGGGATTTTGCGTCTCTTTCACTGACTATCAAGTTGTTGTTTCTGGTGACGTGGATGAAGTCTGGATTCCCTATCACTCCCGTGTTGATAGACCTCAGTATCCTCCCTGTCAGGTCCAGTATGTCCACAGAGTGAGACTGTCTCCATGTACCTGCCGCCAGCTGTGAAGGACTCAGACAGGCCAGGGCGTAGTACTGCTTGCTTGTTTTGATAATTGACAGTAATTCAGGATCTGGGGTAACATTCATTGTAACTATTTCCTTACTGTCTGGAACACTGACAGCAATCTGACTCTCACTTAACTTGGCTATTTGCCAAGGACCATTAGAACACAGGAGCTGATATTGGAATGAATTGAAGTTTTGTGTGTAATATGTTTGGAGTCTCTTGTTATCATAATCTGCAACTACCATCATTTTCACTGAACTATCACCAGTCAACACTGTGACGTCATACAAGTAAGGATCCTCCCCGTCCCCATCTTCCTTGCAGTCAAGGGTGTGATGTAGAACGGGAGAAGACTCGGGATCACTCACTCCATGGACGACTTGAACCTCTCCCAGCTGTAGCTCATCAACTGCTTTACTCAGCTTGTCCAGGTCGTGTGTGAACACAACCATTCCTTGTTCTGGTCTGTTGTCCGTGTCTCTGTTGTCTGTAAAAGTCTCACCCATCGACTCATAGATGGCATACATGTCCATCTCACAGTTGGACGTCACAGCATTGGCTGTGAAATCATACTGCTGCTGGTACATCTGTAGATCGATCTCCTGGGATTGTAGATCTGCTTGTAACTCATGTAATTGTTCATCAGTAGCTTTATCGATGACACCAAGGAGTTGCTTCTCTTTTCTTAAAATAGCACGCATCACTGTACCCCGTGTCTTCATGACTTGATCTTTGAAGGTTTGTGAATTACTCTTCACATCTTGAATTTTAGATTTTCTCCGGGTTAGGATATTATTCGCAGCTGCAATGTTGATTCCGAGTGTCTCTTTTTTGTTTGTCAGTTGTTCCTTCACAAGAGGGGTCATACTCTCTATTGTATCAACATCCTTACATGTCCTGTGTTTTATACTGCAGCATATCGTGCATATTGCCTGCTTGCAGTCTTTACAGAACAACTCTATCTGTTTGTCTCTGTGGACTTGACACATGAAGCGACGCTTGACCTTTGTCTTGGTGTGATCAGACAAGTGAACCACTTCATGGTCACACAACACTGGCATCATGTTGTGCAACTGGAGACATGCTTCACAGTACACAACATCGCAGACAGAGCACCAAGAAGTGGCGGGAGTTGTCTTTCCTTGTTTCGTACAAACACTGCACACATGTTCCTCCACAGCTAAAAAGACAAGTGTTTTTTTTTTCATTTGTCAAAAACATGATAAGAATCGCACACCATCTAAAGAAATAATAACATATAACACATTAGTATGTCATAAACGGCCACGCCCTTTCTGGAGATGAACATATCATATGACACAGGTTGTAATGAAACAATGATGCTGTCTCACAATGTAGGACTCCCTAGTCAATCATGACCTACAGGTAATCATAATCACAAGATTATTATTTGCTGACTAGATATACAATAACAGATGGATATTAAAACCCCTCGGGGGTTACAGCGTCAGGGTTAGCGTCTTTTTAGATGGGAGACTGAACTGACAGAGAACTTAACATACACGTTTTCATTTAACATGCTTTGTTACAATGTTGGGCCATGGCATAACCTGTAAGATGTACCTGCAACTAAAGATCAACCTCACAGTTCTGTCAACACACCCCTGTGCTAGCTGTGGCATGTCACAGTGGAAGGCGACTAAGATCAACCCCACAGTTCTGTCAACACAACCCGTCCTAGCTGTGTCATGTCACAGTGGAAGGCGACTAAGATCAACCCCACAGTTCTGTCAACTAAACCCGTCCTAGCTGTGTCATGTCACAGTGGAAGGCGACTAAGATCAACCCCACAGTTCTGTCAACACATCCCGTCCTAACTGTGGCATGTCACAGTGGAGGGCGACTAAGATCAACCCCACAGTTCTGTCAACACATCCCTGTGCTAGCTGTGGCATGTCACAGTGGAGGGCGACTTAGATCAACCCCACAGTTCTGTCAACACATCCCTGTGCTAGCTGTGGAAGGTCACAATGAAGGGCGACTAAGATCAACCCCACAGTTCTGTCAACACATCCCGTCCTAACTGTGGCATGTCACAGTGGAGGGCGACTAAGATCAACCCCACAGTTCTGTCAACACAACCCGTCCTAGCTGTGGCATGTCACAGTGGGGGGCGACTAAGATCAACCCCACAGTTCTGTCAACACAACCCGTCCTAGCTGTCGAAGGTCACAGTGGGGGGAG